AAGCTGTAGTGCATAATCTTACAATTTCAGGAGATATTCTTAAAACAAAAGCTCATGCACTAGCTGAAATTATGAACGTAAGTGATTTTAAAGGTAGTGATGGATGGCTCTCTCGTTTTAAAAATCGATATCATATTTATTCAGTAATTAAATGAGGTGAATCAGCATCTGCTCTAAAGATGGGAGTCGCAATTGTTTTTCCAAGCCGCAATTATTGCGGATTTGGACTGGTGTTGCAACGTTGTAGCCGCAATTATTATAGGAAAGATCTGCAAATCAAAAATAATATTTAGTTTATACTGTAAATAAAAAAAAGTATTATTTTCTAAATTGTTATCGATATGTTTATAAGAACAAAATATAACTTTAGAAATAATTTTATTTTGATACCAAAGAATAAATTTTAGTTGTAGCTTATAAAAAAGAATTGCGGAATTGCGGACAATTGTCCGCAATTCCGCAATTCTTTTTTATATTTTTCGTGTAAGGGAAAAATTGATTTAAAAAAAAAAAAGATTTTTATCTTATTTTTTATATAAAAAAAATGTAAAAATGAATAGTGATATAAGTAACTCAACAGGAAGTGTTGGTAGACGTTTTACTGAAGTGTGGGAACATGTTACTAAAGGGAGAGAAATTTCTCGTGGTCATTATGAAGGAACTTGTAATTACTGTGAACAATATTGGAAATAAAGATGGGAACTACAATAATTTTGTCACAATTACAAATTTAACCAAAATATCTGCAAACATTAAATAAAATATTTAGTTTGTAAAGAATGATACCAAGAATAAATTTTAATTTGATTTTATAAAAAGGATTTTTGAGATTTGCAAACATAAAAAATATTTGTGGAAATATGGATATTTGCGGACAATGGAAATATTTGCGGAGTTGCGGATAATTGCAACATGTAGTTAATTGTGGACATTGCGAGATCTGTAATAAAATAATAATGTAATAAATAATATACCATTATTATAATATTCTTTTTTCTTTTTCCTTTTTGAAAAAGAAAAGTAATTAATATTATATAATAAAGTAATAAAGTAATATAATAATAATTTTTCCTTACTAGTTGCGTAACCTTTTGTTACTTTAAACTTCCATGCTTAAAACACCTCTTCAAATATTATTTTTCTTCAAAAGAAAATATTATCTTTTTCACCTAAAAGAAAGTATTATCTTTTTCACCTAAAAGAAAGTATGTACAATAATAATACAAGTGTATATAATGTATATAATTATAAGTTACTACCCAAAAGAAGTCTTTTTTATATATTAAACCAAGGTGTATATAGCAGTTTGTGTTGAAGAAATTTTTTTGTAAACAAGATTAATTGTGTGACAGAAGAAAATTATAACAGAAAAATAAGTTTTTAGTTTACAAAAAAATGTTAAGAATTTGCCAAAATGAATACATTTTTTGTACCAAAAAAATTTATCAATTATTACACAACACAACCATTTTCGCGAAACATCAAAACCCCTTTTTTATTAAAAAAACAGACTATCAAAATTTCATTCAAAAAAATAAAAAAATGTTAATTGGTTTAATTTTGTTGTTTTCCTATGTTAAAAAAATTTATCTATAAATAAGAAAAACAATCATAAAAACTTGGTAACAAACTCATGTGGCATATTTTAGTTACATTTAAGTGTGTTTGTTGATATTAAAAAATAAGTGTAAAAAAATTAAAAAGGAAATGCACAAATTGAATTTTTTAATAATTCTTAATTTTTTATTCTAAAGTTAATAATACTTAAAACATACTTATTTTTATACTATATAAATTTTATTTTTTGTATAAGTGGAAAATAAGTATGTTTTAAGTACACAAATTACTGCAAAAAATAAAGATGTTTTAATGATAAAATAAGTGTATCCAATCAATTTTTGTAAAAAAATTAATGATCATCATTTTATGTCAAAAAATACATATTTTATTGGTTTTTTTTTACCAGGATAATAACATACATTGTGTAAGAAATAACATACACTGTGTAAGGAATTAAGATATATGTTTTTTACATTAAACCAATAACATACATTGTTTAAGGAATTAAAACTTACATTTTATGGGTTTTCATAACATACATCATGTAAGGAATTAAAATTTACATTTTATGGTATTTTTCCTTACACCAAAATAATAACGTACATCATGTAAGTGATTAAAACCTACATTTTATTGGGTTTTCCTTTGCCAGAATAATAACGTACATCATATAAGGAATTTGATATATTTCTGAATATATTTAAAATATGGTAATTTTCAAAACTTACATTGAGTACGTTCATTCCATATTTAAAATTTTATTCCTTACATATTGTAAGTAAATTCTTACATATTCCGTACATTTATTTTCTATAGGGTTGGAATTCAGCATATTACATGCTGATAAAATTCATACACCTACAGCCAGCTTTACAAATGCTTCAAGCTGATAATAGTAGTGTTAGGGCCCATTATCCCACAAACGAAGAATTAAAAAATATAAAAGTATACATGTTTATAAATATATATTTATTATTTAATTTTTTTTAAAGTATTCATACATACATATGTATACATATATTTTTTTTTTTTTGAAATAATAAATTTTTAAAAGGATGCAATAGTTTTATTAGAACCAATTGAACATGCAACAAAATTGTTGTCAGCTTCATCTTATTCCACACATGGTGATGTTAGATTTTGATTTTTGAGTATTTTGGAAGATCTGGAAACACATTATAATGATGATGAATTTACTCAACCAATGATTGCAAATAGCATTCACCATAAATTAGAAGAATATTGGCCATTTTTGGATATTACCTCACAAATTTCTTCAATTTTAGATCCTCGTTGCAAACTATCAGCTTTCAAAGATGATGAAAAAGAAAATGTAAAAAATTTAATTTTAGGATTACCTTCATACTATCAACTTCCAAATAATAATAATGCAATATTAAATTATAGTGATAATAGTGGTAATGCATGTAATTATTTTCTCAACCTTTGACTTAAAAATTCATCTAATACATCTACTACCACAACTGATTTACATCAAAATACAATTCCAACTCAGCTACTTGTACCAATAGTTCAACAACTGATACACATTCTTTAATATTGTGTGAATTAACTAAATATTTGAGTGAATCAAAAAAAATGATATTGATCCTATTTCATGGTAGAATATACAAAAATCTGAATATCCAATTTTGAGTACTATAGCTTGTGACTATCTATCTGTTCAAGCAACAAGTGTTGCTTCGGAACAAGCCTTTTCCATTGCAGGTCAAGCAATTGCATCACAAAGGAACAGGTTAGAACCACAAACAGCTAGAGCAATTTTGTGCTTAAAATCATGGATTCAAAATAAAATCTAATAAATATAAATATAAATATTACAATAAATAAAACATATTTTTATTAATAAATTTGGCAGAAAAAGAGGAACAAAAATAATTAAATTCACTGTTATTTGTTGCCAAAGATTTCTAGATAGTAAGCAGGATAAATTTGTAAAATAAAATAATTGATGAGTGTAAAAAGTTAATTTGAACTTGGTCATAGAATGTAAGACAATCAAGATTGACCAAAAAGCTACTTCTCAATAGCATCAGGAAAACGTGTTTTTTGATACACATATTATATGTATATTATACATGTATTATTTTACATTACAGGTGATCTGCATATAATATATGTATAATTCATGTGTAATTTATGGACATGTATATTATATGTATATTATATGCGGATCACCTGTAATGTAAAATAATACACATATAATATACATATAATACGTGTATCAAAAAAAAACACATTTTCCTGATGCCCTATGTGATTCACATCAAAATCCTTTAAACAATCTTTAACCAGTCCCAAAGACCAGTCTTTAACCAGTTCCAAAGACTGAATCTAAAGACCAGTCCTTCGGTCTTTCAAAAAAAGACCAGTCTTTTGGGACTAGTGTTGGTTTCCAAAACTTGAGAGTTTTGCAACCGTGTGAAAGTCAAAAGGTTTCGCCATAAGTCGAAACTAGTTTTGATTTTTGACTATTGACTTTTGATTTAGTTTTGACATATAACTTTTAATTTTAGTTTTGACTGTGTAATTTATTGACATGTGTATTATATGTATATTATATGCAGATCACCTGTAATGTAAAATAATACACATATAATATACATATAATACGTGTATCAAAAAAAACACATTTTCCTGATGCCCTAGAAATGGATCTCTAGTTCGTAACCCACCATTATTTCCACCAACACTCTGGTCTGTTCATGGACTCGTTGAACATGGTCACCCTAGATTGCAAAACACAGTTGAAGCATGGAATCATCAGTGGAACACTTTAATTGGAAGAGCACATGTTGGTGTTTACAGAATTTACAGAATAATAGAAGAAATGTGTAAAGAGCAACAACAAACCAATATTCAGATATTGATGATTTCGATGAAGATGAAAGTGCTGAGCAAGTATTGATAAGTACTAATGAAGCTTTAAAAGGCTTGGAAATTGTCTGCACATTTTTATTGCAACAAGAAAATTCTAGTCAACAAATAAAACTAGTTAATTCTCTTGATAGATATATTAGTTTGAAAACAATAAATACAATGAGGCAAACTACAATGGATCTTATCTTATCAATAATTATATAAAATAAATTTTTATTATCTATTGGTGTCATGTGCAACCAATGAAATGCTTTGTTTCTCTAAGGTACACCTCCTCTAAGTGCATGCTATCACTCATTCCCAAGGGGAGGTGCACTTAGAGGGAGTTGACTATAACAATTTACTAAATAAATTAATAAAATAAATAATCATATAAATAAAATTTATTTAAAAACTTGTTAATTCTAAATATTTCTTTATTTAATATTAAAATTTGGAGATTTTCGTTTCTTACGACTCTCTTAATAACTGTTTCTTTAAAAGGAAAAATTTTCCAAATAAATAAAAAAATGAAAATTTTTAGCAATAAAAATCGCACAACTTTAAATCCTTATAAGTCCTTTTTTTTTACTAATAAAATTAAAAAAAAAACTCTCTGTCAGCTATTCCTTTAAGTCATAAAGAGTAAAATCATGGAAAGGTTTTTGCTCTATTTTATCTAGTTATCAAGATTATATGCTTCAAAGTTCAACTATATTTTCAACATTTTTAGATGATTTTACTAAAAAAACTCTGTCGGCATGTTCATTATCACATTTATTATTACAATATCTCTTAATTTCATAGTTGTATCTTTTTTTTGGAAGGAGGAGATACAAATTTTTTTTTTATATTTATTGAAAAAAAGTTTATAGTAAATTTTATATATGATATTAACTAGTTTTGATCTACATAGGCCACGTTACACTCAATGTGTTCATTCTTTGCAGTCAGTCATAGTAATATAAACTAGCTATATACTAAATATTAGAACTCCTGCTTGTTGTTACAGTACACTACATATATCGCGCGTGAAAACTTAACCTAACCAATATCAAAAATGCAATTAATTGTAAAATTAAATTCTAAAAAAAGATATAAATGACTAACATTAGTAAAAACCAAAAAATCCAAGCCCCAAATATCCTATTGTTAATAATAAAAATATAAACGCGTGGCAAAAGTAATTTTTAAATAATGATCGACATGCTTCGAGAACTCTTATCTATGTTACTATTACGATTTCTTTGAATTTTCTTTAAATAGTTAGTAATATATATTATTAATATATATAGTAAATAAAACTTATATTTTGAATAAGAAATAAATTACACAGTAGCAAACATGTTGTAACTTTTTGATTATAAAAAAAAATGAACAATTAATTTCCCAAATTATTCAAGTTTAAAAATAAATAATTTTGAAACATAATAATGCAAATATGCATGGAAAACAATTGAAGAAACAATAAACTTGATTTTTTGTGTAATTGGAAGAATGGAAAAGATCCGAATCCCGCAGTTTGTTCGTAACAGTTAAAATAAATTATATTTTTTTACAAATATAGCAATTAGAAAATATTGGAGCCACTTTATTTTTGTAGATGATTGTCATCACATATTATATATATATACTTATTTTTTTTTTTCATTTTTCGTACATGTGACAGAATTTATTAATAATCATCACAAATTAAATAATTAGTTTTTAAATTCCAGATTTAGAATAAAAAATTAAAAAAAAAAGTCGTCGTAATTCCGATTGTTTTGTGTAATTTAATCATATCATACATGCATATATTTTTTTAATCTTAATCATATATTAAATACGTAATTAATACGTAACATAAACGACTTTTTTATAAAACAAATATTTGTTCTTCTTAATTTAATATTTTTTTATTGATAAAACTAATTACACTAAAAAAAAAGATGAAAACCTTGAATTTTATACAAAATCAAATCTTAAAAAAATCTATATTTACACTATCCAATAATATGTTGGTGAATAAAATATGTATAATTGCTATATTTACGTATGTATGTATGTATGTATGTATGTATGTATTTATATATATATATATAGATGAATATTTATAATGTTGTAAATAACAATATATAATAAAAATAAAATAAAAATAAAATAATAAACGTGATATTTAATGTTGATGATTTATGATAAAAAATTTGTGTTTGATGATGAATTAGTTGTTGTTGTAGTTAGTTCGTCCTGCACCAGTGGTGGTGGATCTTCGTTTAAGTGATGACGATCCATGAAGTTGGTGTTGGTCAGGAAAATATTCAGATGCAGATCGTTTAAGTGCTGTTTGCCTAATACTAGATGATCCTGTAGATTGATTATTATAAAACGATGCGTTGGTGTCGTTGGTGTTAGAAGTAGAATTGGTGGCGTAAAAATCGAGGAATGATGGCGTAAAAGTATTATTATTGATATTATGATTAATAATGATATTGTCGTCGCCTTCGTTATTGTCGATGGTAAGATTTTGGAGGTCATCATCTGATTCGATAAAGGAATTATAATTATAATTATTGTAATTATTAGTAGCGGTTTCTGGCCAAGTGAATTGATTAAAGAAAATCGAGGCATTTGAATTATTAGGAATTCTTTCTCTTCCATAATCATCAATGAATTTAAGTAATCCATTGCAATAATCTGTATCACCTTTCGAAAGATCAGGTTCAATGCCTTTAGTAAATTAATTTTTTGTTGGTGGAAGGAGAATTATTTGGTAAATTTGATGATGGAAATAATTAGATAAAGATAATTTATTAGTGACAATGTCATTATTGTCAGTATTTTTAAGAATAAAAATTTATTTTACTTACTTGATTCAAATTCAAATTCCAAATTACATTGAGGAGTATTGCTTCCACTTTCATCACTTGAAGTAGATGCGTTCGAAGGAGTATTAGGAATATTTGTTAGCATTATATTATTTGTTGAATTTAAATCTATGTCGCCGCCACTTTCTTCAATATTATTATTATAGATATTATTATTGATGTTACTATGATTATGATTATGAATGTTGTTATTAACAATGATCGAATTTGTTAAATTATTAATATTATCCAAAATTTCTAAGGGATGGTTATGTTTGTAGGCTAAATGAACTTCGCAAGGATGTGAAAGTTGTAAACGGCTTTTTTCAAGACGAATTTTAGCCAAACATTGGCAATTGGTGTTTCTATTGCGACGTTGACCAACCTTTTGTGCATAAGTTTTTTGCATGTATTTGATTGCAGCTATGTCTGCATGTCGACAATGGAAATCTTTATGATAAATAACTTTGATTCCTTTAACTTTATCAGCTCTAGTGATACGAAATATGGTACCGGTTTTGGCATGAAATGCGGCTTTCCATTGTTCAATTGCTTCGATGCTGGAAATATTTATATAAAAGGTTGAATCAAAAGCCGCAGTTGGAGCACCGGCAAAGGTTTCAAGTTCTATTTCTTTATAAGATTTAATGATATATGTATAGTTATCAGGCAAAACTTGTTTTAAATAATCGGGTAATTGTTGAAAGGTTCTTGGTGTTGATCTGCTGGTGGTATCAGTTCTAGATTTTAAACGTTCTTGAAGACGTTTTTGAATTTCAAGGCGAGATGAACCTTCAACCTTATTGTTATTACTTTGATCAAATTGATTTTGAGACATTTTATGTATTAAATATGTATAGTGAAGACAAGTGTGATTTACTTAATATTTTATTATTAATAAATAGTTTTTTTTTTAGATTTTTTTTTTCTTAAAAATTTTTTATTTTTTTTAAAAAAGAATTCCTGTGCGTATTTATACTAAAAAATCAATCAACGTTAATTAATAATGTTTGTTGATCTTTATTTATTTGTCAAGAGTGTAAGAAATAAAGAATAATTATTATAATTTGCACAGTATAAATTAAACGTTTAAAAATTAAATTATATAAATAAATAAAATTATTTCCAAAACATCTTATTATTTATTGAATGAATAAAAAAGATCAATGCATTTCTCAAAATGGAAATTCTATTAATAAATTTTAGCTTATCATCATTATTATTATTGTGTAATACAGATCTTTTCTATGTTAAGCTTGTTTCTATTTAAAAATTGTTAAAAATAGAAAATTTTACCCATATTTAATTCAATTTTTTTTTTGGGTTTTTTATTAGTGTTAGAACTAAAGTAAAAGAAATAAATATTATAATTATGGTTACTGTTTGGCGAAGTTTAAAAGCTTGCCCGGAAGAACTAAGGTTGGATACAACATTAAAATGCGGACAATCTTTCCGTTGGAAAGTGTCGGGTGAAAATGAATGGTAAAAATATATATATTTACTTACAAAATTTTTAAATAATTAAATAATTATTTAATGGGTTTTCAATTCCTTTCTATTGTATATTATATATTATACATTTTTTAAAAGGTCATGTGCTTTCAAAGGAAGGCTTATCTCTTTGAGACAAACAGGTAAATAATAAATCTATAAATGATAATGATTTCATGTCTGATTCTAATTTTTACCTTCTTAGAATCAAATGTAGAATATCGATCATACCAATCTTCTTCCTCCTATTCTTCCCCCAGTTTTCCTTACAATTCATCTGCATCACTTTCGTCTACGTCATCACTTTCATTTACGTCATCATCATCATCGTTATCGTCATCATTATCACCAAATCTAAATACTACTACCACCAATGACATTGAAGATTTTCTTAATGATTATTTTCAATTACACATCAATCTAAGAGAATATTATGCAAAGTGGTGTAAAGCTGATAAAAATTTTGCAAAGGTGGCTGATAGATTCCAAGGTGTAAGAATCCTAAGACAAGATCCTGTCGAAAATCTAATTTGTTTTATATGTTCTACAAATAACAACATTGCTAGAATTTCTAAAATGGTATGGATTTTCAGAAAATTAATTGACCTTTTTAATATTAATAAAATTTTACCCATTCTTCCTTAAAATAATAACAATATGTATTTGTATTAATTAGATAGAGAAATTGTGTAATCGATATGGTAACAAGGTTTATACTTTGAATGGCGAAGACTATTATGATTTTCCAACATTGGATAAACTTGCTTCTGATAATATTGAAATGGAATTACGTGAATTGGGGTTTGGTTATCGTGCTAAATATATTGTACAAACAGTCAATCACTTGGTGGAAAAATGTTCTGGAGGCGAGGAGTGGTTGTATTCTTTGCGAAACCTTGATTACAGAAATGCTCATAATGCTCTACTACAACTTTCCGGTGTAAGCTTCGATGTTTTAATCTAATAATATGTAGTAAGTATATTATTGTTATCATAAATTAATTCTATTGTTTCAATTTAGGTTGGTCCAAAAGTTGCCGATTGTGTGGTAAGTTTGTACTCATGAGTAATGTTACACATAAAATTCCATGTGTTGATCATACGTACATTACATACCTTACAAACATAAAACTTTACATCTATATATATATGTGTGTGTGTGTTGTAAATGCATGAACACAATTTTTTAATTTTAATTTTAAAATTTTTTTTTCCGATAGTGTTTAATGTCTTTAGACAAGCATAATTCTATACCTGTAGACACACATGTATGGCAGATCGCTAAACGTGATTATGGCTTTGCTTCAAAAACTTCAAAAAACTTAACAAATCGGTTGTACGAACTGGTTGGCGATCATTTTAGAAATTTATTTGGAGATTATAGCGGATGGGCTCATTCGGTAACTAACCTACCTATTACTATATATATATATATGACAAAAATAGAAAATGTCTAGTCAATCATTTGATTTGTCATGCATGCATTATCTTTATTTTTTCCCATTCATTATCTAGATCTAGTATGAATGACTAAACTCTAAATTCTTTTTCTAAAAATAACTCTCTTTATTGCGTATGCTTTTTAAAAAATTTTTTTTGACCTCTGATTATCAGGTTTTGTTCGCTGCGGATCTTAAAATGTTTGAGAAAAAACAACAATATGATAACAATAATACTAGCAGCAACAATTTGAAAACTAAAAAAAACATTGCCAACAACAACGAATCTAGTTATAATAGTGTTGTTACGCTAACTTTATCATCAACAAATGTCGAAGAAAAATTGAACAATAATGAATCACCTTCCATTTCTAGAAAGAAACTTCGCAGGTCATATAAAAAATAACAACGTGTTTGTTAAATATGTAAATATTTTTACCTCATTGTCATTGATTTTTTATGACTTTTTTTCCATAAATAAAATCGTTTTAGTTTAGTTCAGCTTGTTTGCCCATTATACCAAATTTAAGTTAGAGGTGGTAATATATATTAATTGTTCGAATCAAGAATGTCATTCATTCATTGTACATTTTAATGTATTCAAATATTATCCCAAATTTGTAATTTATATTAATATATGCTAAACAACATTGGCGTGATGCAGGACCCCCGGGGGTTATTATAATTGAGGTAACAAACATCCAGGTTATTAGTAATGGTAAATTGCTATTAGTAATGGAAACTTTATCCAAAAATTTTTACCCTTTTAAGCATATAACATTTTCCTACTTTACCCATTTTAGTATATAACATGTCAAATAAAGCTTTACACATATGAGATATGTAACTTCATACGTAATCATTGAAAAAACTATCCAATATTTTTTTATCTAAAAATTATATTAATATAGTTGTTGTTGATGTTCAATTATTAATAAACTCATATCTGAATCTAATATAATGAATGTTATTATTCCAAGATAAAATAAACATTATTATGAAAAAATAATATTGTCAATAATTTATTACAATGCTCCACATGTTAGATTATAAAAAAAACCGCCGTCTTTCGGCTTTAAAAAAGGGGAGTCAATTCATGTAAAAAAAATTTGAAAAAAAAATTTTTCATGGATTTTTTTAAATTTGAGAGTTATGTTCAATACGATAATAATTTTCGTGTTATACAAAGCTCGTTAAGTTCATATTCGATAAATTCATAATCGCCTAAATTCATAATTTTTTCAGGAACCAATGTCAATTATATTAAAATTCTATCGATAATTTCATAATCATAATAAAATCATTGATAATCGGTAAAATCATAACACTTTTACTTTTATTATGTGCTATCATATAAAAAATCTTGCTCTTTAAATTCGTATCTCTTGTAACAATTAAAATATTACTATTACGTAAGTAGTAAATTCAAAAATTTTTCCCTTGTTAATATAAAAAATGAATTCAAGTTTATTAAGCGTAGAAATATAGATGATAATAAGATTTCAATTGACAAAAAACAAATTTATTTTTTCTTGAAAGCGTAGAATTTGCGAAGAGCCTTTAGCTAATAAATAATTGGGAGTTTTTCATAATTACAATAAATTTTTTTACCAGAAATCTCATCTTTTTATAGGAAAAGTTCTAAAGGCATATATTTCTATTCCATTATATCATGAATTTAAAGAGCGACTCTCGATAATGTCATAATTCGATAAATTCATAAAATTTGTTGTGGTATTTTAACGAGCGTTGACTGTATTTTGGATTACATCACCAAATTTGATAATGATTTTTTTATTGTTATTTATTTCCTTTTTTTTATTAAATCAACATACATTGTTTTCAGTAATGCAATTATTGTCATTCATCATTGCTGTATTTATTATTTAAATTTAAAACAATGAATTTTGCAACTATAAGTTATAAATTTTTACTTCAATATAAAAATATATAAAGCTCATGAAATGCAAGTACTAATTTTTGTATAATGAATTTTAGATGCAATTTCTTATGTGTCTCATAGATTTGTTTGGAACTTAGCCAAAACTATTCAATGCAGAAGATTTAAAAAATATTTTATATTTAATATCTGATATTCAATGAAAGAAAGACTGGTGGTACCTTGATGAACTTATAAATGAATTGGAAATAAAACTGGGGAAAGAGTATCAATACTAACATTAGAGATCAAATCACTTTATTTTTTATGGGATCACAAGAAAAAAAAAAAGTAATTATATACCTTTATTTGTCAAATAATCATTTTTTTACATTTAATAGTTTGAAAAGGCAGCAAAAGCAATAGTGAAATTTTGAGATATAAAATTAGAATGAATTTTTGGCCTTAGAAGCTAATTCTTGCTGATGCATCACTAAGAATGAATGTCCATTTTCACATATTTCCTAATCAGAAGTAAAAGATACACAGTTTTACTTTGGATGTAATTATTGGAGTTATATAATGCAATAAGGAAAGGTTCTAGCAAATTATTTATGAATTAAACTTTTTTCTTTACAAGAGATTGTTTATTACCACCATACTCATATTCAAAGTTCATTTTTTTGGGGGTGCATAATAGTACACCAGGACACACTCCGACCACAAAATTACACTCCTAAAACTTTTCGGTTTTGATTTTATTATTAATTGAAGGATTTATGTTTTTATTGCAACTGCATAAAAAACTTAAAAGTTTTTTGGATCACAATAAAACATTTTCTGCAAGTAAATATGTACCAATAAAACAAGAAATTTTCAAAGGAGTATCTACGTCACAACGTAAGAAAAAAAGTACACATTAACTTTTCCTCTGTTAAATTTGATTAGATAATAATGCTACACCGACAAAACGCTGAAAATACGACTATCTTATACTAAAAAGTGAATGTATGGGTTTTTGGTACCGTGGTAAGAATCACCCTGTTTTATTATGGTTAACCAATGAAATTCAATTACAGTATCACACACACGAATTTTATTGGTCAATACCAATTGAAGATCTTACATTGGAACATTCCAATAGCATTACAATGTTCCAATTGCACAACACTGCGGGTTTTATGTCTCAGGTTTTGATTTTTGAATTTGGAAATAAAAATAAGTTATTTGCTTTTATTTAAAAAATACATTGATTAATCGATAAAATATAATTATTATTACAAAGAAAAGCACACGTATCATTGACCAAATTACATTTTTTTAATATCACTGGTATCACCAGCATCAGCATCACCACTAATTTCTAATGACCTCAAAATTGCTTCTCTGATTCCTTTATCCTCACACTCGTCAGCATCAGCATCAGCATCGCCACTAATTTCTAATGATCTCAAAATTGCTTCTCTGATTCCTTTATCTTCACACTCGTCAGTATCAGCATCAGCATCACCACTAATTTCTAATGATCTCAAAATTGCTTCTCTGATTCCTTTATCCTCCTCACACTCGTCAATTTTTTGATTATTATTACTCTCATCTTTAGAAATAATCATAGCATAATCTAACAATTCATCATCTGTTAAATCTAATAAAGGCGAAAATTTATTTAGAAATAAAATAGATTTTTCTTTTTCTATACGTTCTTGTTCGATCAGTTTCTTTGACTCTTTCACATCGTTTTGTAATTCGATTCTACCTATTTATTTTTTAATAATAAACGTTAATCATTTTCCAATATCAAATAAAATAAGTAAATACAAATATATGTAAGTTAAAGAAAAAAAAATTACTTAGATATTTGGGTGTTGTTATTGATGTTGACTTCTTTTTTTGTTTAATTTGATTTGCTATTTTGATGTAAACAATAAAATAATTTAACAACATTGATGAAAATCCAATGAGATTGATATTAATATTAAATAACATACTTGAGCCAGTAGCAGATGTAAAATCCCAAGAATTTATTGTACTACCAGTACTGAATACTATTTGATAATCTTTCGAATAAATGCAATTTACAGCTAATTCTCCATCCAATAATCGTGTCTGATATCTATTCGGTAATCTTTTGTAACTAAAACATTCATTTATCGATTCGTTGATTAAATAGAGTCAGGTTTAAAATTAAAATTAAAGAAGTAAAAACAAATATTTAGGTGATTATATTATTACTTTTGATTCAATGTACGAATTAAACATGAGGTTAAAGGTTCCCATACACTCACACTGCCGTCAGAACTAAACAATTAAATGATGACTCTATTTTAGTTGTAAGACAAATAAATATATTTGAAAATGGGTTGAATTAATTACCTGCCAACCAGTAACTTGAAAGCATCAATATGGAGAGATGTGATAGGTGACAACAGATTATTGTTAAAAATTCTAAAATGTTTGCATATAAATATTAATTAAATGAATTAAATATACAAAAAAAAAAGATTTATTAAACAAATTTAATCAAGAATTTTTTATAAACAATACCTTAACGGCTTAGTAAACAAACATTCCTGATTGCTATCATTATTATTGTTATTTCCGTCATCTTTATCTTTTCTATTTCTTAAACCCACATCCCACAAACATACAGTACCAACAGAATCACCACTTGCAAGAAGATTTTTTGATGATACTAAAGTTTTCTCAATAATGTCATTACAGTTATGATTACCGCTATCATCTCTAACAACATCTTTATCGTTAGGTGACTCGTCATGCAAATCTACTGTTGTACATGTTATATTGGCAAAATGACCTTGTTTAAATATGGTGATGCATTTTAAAGTTTTCAAATCGTATTTTTTAATTTCATAGGAATTTTTGTATGTAACTATTATAAACTCCATTTGTTCGTGATAATGTATTGACAAAATTTCATTTGATTCATCGAAATTATCATTAATTATCATATGTGGAATTTCTGTCTGGGAGTTATTATTATTATTTTTCTGAAATAAACCAGTTGCATCAAACCACCATATATGAATAAGGCCATTTTCTGTTCCTGCAATCAAGCATTTTCGAGCATTCCATTTTATAATGGTAACCTTTGAATTATCTTCAAAATTAGAGCCTTAATTTTTTTAAAAACAATAATAAAAAAAATACATAATTAAAAATTAAAATAAAATAACTATAACTTATTAACAGATTATTATTAGAAAAAATTTCTTACTGGTTCTGAAATTTTTGGTACACATTAATTTACCAGTGTCCCATAGCTTTACCACACCATCTGAACTACCACTAACTACTATATTGTCATATTTTCTGTCCCGAGCCAATGAAGTTACACATCCTGAACGAGATCCATAATCATAAAGCTTTTTATAATATCTTTCTGAAGCATTTCTATTCATAAAAGTAATTCCAATTTCACCAGTTTCGTAACCCCAAAGAATTTGATTTCTTTATTATACATATATATATATATAGTTTTATCAATTTTATGATGTTTTGAAATTGGTGATATATATACATATAATGAGTGGATAGTTAGATGGATTAAAAGAAAAAAGATCACAAGTGGAATATAAAATAATAAGAAATGGACGAAATTAATGAATAATTTATGATGGGAGATAAACCCATCTTATATATTATATATATCAGAAAAAAAATTAGTAAGTAAATAATTAAAATAATATATATATACGCATATATAAAGGTTTTACTAATAAAGATAATTTTTAATTATTATTCTTACCTATCAACTAACAAGGCAGAAATTGGACGAACAATATTTCCACTTGTAGATATTAAATCTTTATTTACTTTTCCAGTTTTTGGGTTACACCTTGCAACTATTCCTATTTTTTTAATCAAAAACATATAAAACATCAACATCATAGCGAAGACGGATGAAATCAATAATCACTGCAATCAATCGTATTTCTAACCTCTATCTGATGATCCTGTCAACATCCAAGAATTATCAAAATCAACATACAAATCATCAATTTTACCAACTTTTGTATCAAAACTTATTAATGACCCTTTTCCTTTTTTCCATTTTCTATAAAATATATATTATATGAATAGCATCATCATTATCATATACAATAATAATAATATAATCAGAATTATTAAAAATTAAATATATACCTGAGCAAGTTAACTCGAGCAATATATTCATTTTTCCAACTATCTTTAGTTAATCTCCTATATAACAAAATCAAGTAAATAAATAAAAGGTTGTTTAGTCAATTAGTCGCAATAATAATGACGAAAAGATAAATATATTACCTAAATGGAGCACATCCAAAAAATCGTAAAAATGCATTTCTCCAGCAATTATCATCGCTTATCACGAGTCTCCAGTGTTTACAAACTCGAGAAGCTTTGCTCTTTTTGTTTTTGTTTTTGTTTTTATAAAATGATGATTAATATGGAGAGGTATATATTTATTAAATATTAAAAAAAAATTCGATTCCCGATACTTACCAAAATTATCGGATCGAGATTTGAAAAAATGTATGAAAGAATTTCCACTGCTATTTCATTTATGAAACATCTCCCACTATTGACAAATTAATTATTATTATGAGTAAATTACTACTAATCGTTTGAAATTTCAAGAGATGTAAATAATAAATACTTTTTGGGTAGAATATTAACTTTTTTTCCTTTATTCTTGAATTTGGAATAATTTAGTTCCATGATTATTTTTAAAAAATAAATAAAAACATTTGATTTACTGAGTCATAATTGATAAACAACCTTGGTGTAACCAATTACTATTACAAATAAGTTGATCGATCGCCAGTGCTAGGATGGTGGACATTTAGCAATTTTATCGATATCTAATGACACTTACAAAATTAGATTCGAAAGGTTATTCGCCAAGAACTATAATAATTGATAATTATGACTCTTATACCTTTAATTTATTACAACTTTTGAACAATACTGAAAATGTTATCGTTATTAGAAATGATCAATTTTCTTGGTAATGTTTGATGATTTTCAAAAATTTTTTTTTTAAAGGAATAATCATGTTAATTTTTTTTTTGCTTAATAAAGGACTGAATTTGAACAAAACATTCTACCACATTTTGATAATATTATAATATCTCCAGGACCAGGAAGTCCCGAAAATTCATCGGTAATATATTATTTGATATTTATGTGTTGGAAATAAATATAAATTTTCCAATCAATATATTAATTAAAAAAAAATTAGGATTTTGGTATTTGTTCAAAAATTCTTAAATTAAATAACATCCCAATACTTGGTGTATGTTTAGGACATCAAGGAATCGGTTATGCATTTGGTGGAAAGGTAAAACTTTGCTTAATAATATATATCATCTAAAATAATTTTATTAAACAAAAATTTATATTTTTGAATTAGATTAAAAATGCTGAAAAGATTATGCACGGAAGATCAAGCCTTATATATCACGATGGTGGAGATGGCGACATTTCCTTATTTTCTGGAATACCGAATCCATTTTGGGCAGTTAGATATCATAGTTTAGTCGTTGATAATGAAAGTAAATATCATGACTATTAATTATTTTATTATTTAACACTGTTTAATATTGAACTGGTATAATTTATTTGATTTGTTTAGATTTACCTTCAGAATTAATTGTATCAGCTTGGTGTTTTGATGAAAATAATTTACAAAAAGATCATTCGTTTAATCAATATTCACCACCACCATCACCATCATCTAGTCATTCTTTAGAAAAATCTAGTAAAATCATGGGATTAAAACATATAAAAGAACCGATTTATGGTGTACAATTTCATCCAGAGGCATGGTTTGTCAAGATTGAATTATTTAATTATTTAATTATTTTGTCATTTTGTAAGAATAAATTTCAATTAATCTTTTAATTTCTATATTAAATATACATATGTATAGTCTATTTGCACAGAATATGGTTATAAAATAATAAAGAATTTTAACGAAATAACAAAAAAGTATCATGGAAAAAAGGTTACAGTGAATTTCAATTCCAACTAAAAGCATAATGTTAATAAATAATATTAACACTTTTAATAATTATCAGCAAGGATTAACATTTTCAAGACCAAAGCTTCCATATAATATTTCAGCACTTTCAGTAATTCCTTCCAATTTTTTTATTTTCAATCCAATAACAAGGATTAATAATAATAAACCAAAATATTATCTTGTAATGAAACAATTTCACGAGAATAAATGGTTAGATCCATACCTGGTGTTTAAAGAAATTGTCAGTAAGCACAATTCATTTGTAGGAAAATGGTGGTTAGATAATTCCATGGTATGTGTATATATATATATATACATATATACACACTTATATTATTAATAATTTCTTTCTTAACATTTTTAATTCAAAAAATTTTTTTTTGATTCAATAGCAACAAGATTCACAAAATGGATTTTCATTTATGGGTTCAACACCAAATTTTTCAAATACGTTTTCAGTGTCATATTCCACTTTAGAAAAAGATTTGAAAATACATTGCACAAATGGAAAAATTATTTCAAAAAAATTAGAAGAAAATCAAACATTTTGGGATTGGATGTCAAATGCAACAAGACTAATTAATCAAAATATTGGCATCACAAAAATATTAAAAAATAATGGATTACTTTATGATATCTTAAAATTAAAAAAAAAAGAGCATCTAATAATACCATTTGATTTCCGCTTAGGAATGGTTGGTTATTTTGGCTATGAAATGAAATGTGAATCTATGCCTGGTTATGTAAAGGTTGTTCCTAATGGTGTTGGCCCAAACAATAAATGTCCTGATTCAGCATTTATATTTTCAACATATGCAATAGTATTTGATCACTTAAAAAAAAGATTATGGTCAATTGGATTAATTAAAAATGATGATGGCAATTCATTGATAGATTATAATGAGTTGGAAGAAGAGTTGGGAATTTTCCCAGGACTTTCTCTTACTGACTTCTTATCATTGACAAAATCAATTGAAGAAAATTTAAATAATATAATTGCTCTAAAAAAACACCAAGAAGAAATACCAATTAATAAGAACCACTGCTGCCATCATAACAACAATAATAGTATTGATAATTGTTGTTATAATAATGTTTTTAATAATCATAAAGACAATAAAGATAACGTTTCTATTGATTTTACAAATTTCATTCCTGATATGAACTCAGATCAATATTTAAATACTATTGAAAAAGCAAAATCATTGATTTACGAAGGTCAAAGTTATGAATTATGCCTTACAACACAATTTCATACCAAGTTGCCAAATAAACTAAAAAATATTGATGATATTCTAGAGTTGTATTACTACATTAGATCAAATAATCCTGCTCCTTATTCAGCTTTTATTTATTTCAATAACTTAAGTTTATCAATATTAAGTTCGTCACCTGAAAAGTTCTTAGAAATAGATGATAAGGGAGTTATAGAGATGAAGCCAATAAAAGGTACAGTTGCAAAAGCAAATAAATGCTTTTGTGAAAAGAAGAAGACTAATGAAACAAAGGATCAATATTATGATAACAAATGTGATAACGAAGAGTGTTGTAAAATTAAAAGAAAGGAGGAGGATTTAAGAAGAATTTATATGCTAAAAAGAAATGTTAAAGAAAGAGCTGAAAATTTGATGGTTAGTTAATCGTGAAAGTAATTACATACATAAACTATATAGTAAATAATAATGATAAGCCATTTTTGATTTTTAGATTGTGGATTTAATACGTAATGACCTTTCACAAATATGTATTCCTAATACAGTCAAAGTACCATATTTGATGAAGGTAGAATCATATAAAAGTGTTCACCAACTTGTGACAACTGTTAAAGGAAATTTAAATAGAAATATAGATTATGTTAATGTCATCAAAAATTGCTTTCCTCCTGGTAAGATAACTTCTTTTTTTTTCTTCTTCCACTCTGGATTATTATTAACAATTTTTTATAATGTTTGTAGGATCAATGACTGGTGCTCCTAAATTACGTAGTGTACAATTACTTGAAAAATTAGAAAATTATACCCCAAGGGGTGTTTATTCTGGTTGTTTAGGTTATATTTCATTAAATGAGCCAAATAATCCTAATAACTGTGGAGGTGGTGCTCATTTTAGTGTTGTCATTAGAACAGTTATTATTTATGATGAAAAAGGTGTGTTAAAAAACTTTTTTCCAAATGTATTTTTTATATAATATAATAATAAATAATATGTAATATGTGCATGTATTTTTTTAGATATATCAGTTGGTGCTGGTGGTGCCATCATAGATCTTTCAAACCCAGAAACGGAGTGGCAAGAAGTTTTATTAAAATCACAATCCGTTATCCCAAGGTAAATAACAAAGTTTGTTTTCTGAATAAAAAAAAATTTCAATTATTTTTTTACTAATAATAATAATAATAATAATAATAATAATAATAACTGTTATTATTATTTTAATTAGTGTCACATCTTTTATAAACCAAAAATACCATTAAATAATCTAATAATAGATACTTTAAATTTTCTTTTACAATTTAAATAATATTTTAATTTCAATATGCATGTTTAATTAATTGATAATACCTTATTTATATTAATTCCACAGCATAAATATATTTAATCATAGAATAAAATTCACATTAGATATTATAATAAATAAAATTTGTCATAAAGCCTTTTGTGATTTTACAAATGGAACTATTCTTACAATGAAAGATTAATTAGATGAGGTATATTTAATTTTTTTTTAAAATTATTACTTCATCCTCTTCCACATTTAGATAATAATAATAAAAATCCTATATATAATATTTTTACTTCTCAATGTAATGACAACAGCTAATAAGTAATATATGTTAATATCTATATATTGTCAATAATTAATATCGAATCACTTTGAAATTAAGAATTAATTTGTTTAACATTTCATGGTTTTTGTTTTTTACTACTACTATTATTATTATTATTATTATTATGGAATTTGATGATGACGATGATGATGGCGGTGATGATGATGATGATGACATGTTGGTAGTTGTTGTTGGCAGTAATGATGTTGGTTTTATTGCAGGAATATCCCATTTACTTGCATGTTTTTTACCTTTTGTAATTAAGTATTATTATTAAATTAATTAATTAGGATTTTTACCAATGATTTACTTTTACCTATATATTACTTTTGCTGCTTTCAATGATAATGATAATGATGCTGAAGTTACAGATGCAGTTGATGTTAATGTATATCCATAAGATTTTGAAGACTTTTCTGCTCTAGCTACTAAACTTTACATCACATGTTGAGCTTTTGATATACTTTGTTGCTGTTGATGTTGAGATTGATGTTGATAATGATGATGATGATGATGATGATGATGATGATGATGATGATGATGTAAAAGAAGAACTAACAACAAATGCTAAATTGTGATCTTTTTTGGATGTTCATCTGCAACTTTATTTTACAACCTAGTTTTTTACATGAGTGGCGTGAATGAATACGAGCATGAGATAATATTTGGATGATTCATGCCCGAAGAAATAATAAAGTATGATTATTTGATTGTTGTAATATTTACCATAAAAACGTGATCCCCGTACTGAAAAAAATGTTTAAAGTTCTATAATTTAAAATTTATTATAAATAACACATAATAGATAAAGTTGTAATTTAATAAAACAAAGTAAAATTTTTGTTCGCTGGCGCAGCAAGTAAAAACATAAGGAAGAAAACAAGAACCTGCCCTCCGCATCCTTTTGCTGTTGTCCTGAACATTCTTCATCTAAGCATTGCAAAAACAGTAACCTAATTAATTATGATTACAATCAATACACAGTGAGTCTCGGTATAGCGGATAATTTGGGCAATTAGAACAAAAATTTCAAAAATCCGTTATACCGAGATTAATTCAAGATTTAATTAGTAAATCCGTTAAACCGAGAGAATTTACTTATAGACGGTTCTGAGCTTTGATCCGTTAAACCGAGAGTTTATTAGACATCCGCTATACCGAGGTCCGCTATACCGAGACTTACTGTGTACTACTGTTGTTGTTGTTTAAATGAAACGATATATCTAAATTTACTGCTATTATTGAATCCAAGATAATAATAGAACTCATTGTTGTTGTTGATCAGAGGACAAAAGCATCAATGCCATCTAAGGCTTTTTCTCGTAAACAAAGTTTTACTTTGTCGTTTTCCTTCTAATCATGTGCAATGCTTTTAAGATTTGGTAAAACTGCAATTCTCATAAACATGGCAATCTGTCTAGCCAGTCATGACCTTTCGCTAAGAGTGACAACAACTAGGAAATCGAGATAAAGTGTTTCTGTTGTTTAGAGGATGTGTATGAGGCGGACTTTCATTCGCATTCTGCATTTGCAGTCGTCAAGGTAATGTCACAACCCATCTTTTTTGAAAAATTTTTTATGTTGTATCATGCGACAACGTTCTATTTCTGGTATAATTTTACATTAGAACAGGTACATTAGAGAAGAAACCTTGAATTTTCATTTGATCATCAATAAGGACCCAATTTGTTCAATCAATTTTAATAAATATAATAGCTTCAAAAATAACTTGTCTTGAGAATCACTGATCACTTGTAACGAGTATCTATCTGTCAATTATATTAATTGAATGAGTTTATTAGCCAGAGGGTGCTTACAGCAAACATTAAAGAAAAACATCTCAATAACTTTAACAATATTTTTAATTTTTATAATAGTTAATATAATATTCAATTCAATTAGTGAATCCTTTCCAACAATTTAAATAAAACTCTTTTGGATTACCATTCGTAAGAAAATATTGTTTAAGAAAGTATGAATCTTTTGGATCTAAATTCAATTTTAAATAAAAGAGCATATTAATAGTATTATAAATCAATTAATATAAGTATTGACTGTTCAAATAAAATCACCTGATTTGATCATAGTATTATAATAATAATCTAAAATGCCCTTCGCCTCCTTCTGAGTATACATTTTGACATCAAATCGTTGTAAATCTTTTGTATATTGTAATATTGTGGGTGAACGAGGATTCCACACTGATGACTCACTAATGTTAAGTGCCTCTTCTAATGGTTTACTGATATATGGCATATATGATTGTGACAAGGCTCCAATGATTGCACCTTTTTTCTTTTTTTTTTTTAAAAATTAAATTTAATAATTCTTTCAATATTTAGAGTATTTAGAATATTTTAGTATATTATAAGATAATTACAAAAATTTTAATTCCTGAAATATATTCCAACATTGAACGAGGTAATGATAATTTATTAGATTCTAATTTTTTATCATTGTTATCTGTGTATTCGGAATTGGTATAGAAAGCGTTTACTACATCGACCGCCAGTAAAACTGAAAATCTACAGATATGATTTATTGTTAATAATATTAATTATGACTAATATTTTTTAGAATTAATTTCTTCACATAAATTAATGTCAATCAATTAAAATACCTCTCATTATTTGAAAGTTCTTTTAAGAAACTTTCGAAAACCTTTTGTGAAAGATGAATATCTTTAATTCCAATTTCCAATAATTTATCTAATGATAATTGATTTTTCAATTTGAATTCATTCATTGTGTCTTCGCTAATTGACAACTATACATCATCATCATCATCATTGTTATTATTATAATCGTTATTATTAGCGTTATCATTCTCTTATTATTCATCATATTATTATTTATGTTATTTTATAATGAGTGACGTACACTTTCTAGAATTATACGATTGACTTTCTTAATTTGACTCAACAATAAAGAAACCAATGTTGGCTGAACATATTCTTCGCCCACTAAAGCTTTAGAATAAGGATATCTACTATCTACAATCTTAATAGCTAAACAACAACAACATCATCAATAATAATAGTATAGTAATAATAAATTAAAAAATAATTATATGTTAATTTACCATCAGGGATATAAATAATAGCCCATGAATTGCAAAGTGCATAATTGATAGCCTGTAGTAACAATGCACTTTTCCCAGAGCCTAAAGGTCCAGCTTTATTTTACCAAAATAATTTAAAAATTATTGCATTACATAATATCAAAAAAACGATAATGATGATGATAATAATGGTAATAATAATGGTAAGTCCATTACCTAAAATGTATCTTGATTTTAAACTAGAATTTTCTGATGCTTTTTTAAGAATATCAATCAATCCCACTGAAGATTCTCGAATCATCAAAGAAGGATGTCTTACAAATTCATACTAAGAAAATATTGATTAATTCTTTTCCAAATATAAATGTGTCATATTATATATATAGATATATATCTAATTATCTACCTCTTTTGATAACATTCCAGGTAATCCAAAAGTTTTAATTTTAGAAATTATTTGATCTGGAAATTTGTAAACTTTACCAATATTTTCTTCTACAAAAACCTCCTAAATATCAATCTAACATTATTAAGAGATCAAAAATATTTTGTTTCTAAAATCATCAATCAATCCATTAAACAATAATTAAATAAAAAACCATACAGATGACATTTCTTCCAATTCAACTATTGGCAAATTCTTGGCAAATTTTTCATTATGGATTGAAGATGAATCAATAGTTGCTTGTGCCTAAACCATAGTAGTGTTAATGGTCATAATATTGGTTGGTATGTAATGTCAATATAAAGAGATAGGTAAATGTTACACGAACCTCAGAAACTTTTGGTTTTTTGTAGCTTTTAGTTTTTTGAGTGATTGATGTTGGTTTCTTTACTAAACAATTATTAATAATATTAATTTATTAATAAAATACATAAATGAATAATGATGAAACTAAATAAGTTTAATGAACCTTGCTTTGCACCACCCTTCATTCTTTTTTGAACAATTATCAAATTTGAGTTAGTTGCTGCATTAGGAGTAGTAATGGGAAAAGGTTGAGGTTTGGTTCTTTGAACACATGTCAATAAGTTTCTTTTTGTTACTTCTGTACCGGTTAATTTGAAAAACCAGGTGCAACAATCGCGAAAGTTGACGAGTACCTTAGGAAACATGAACCACCATTAGCAATCGAGTCTATGACTGTTCTTGATACTATTAGATTCGGGGGAACTATCGCAACTGGGTGCCATGGTGCTATAACTGATTCAAGAACACTTGCTGAACAAGTTGTTGGTTTGGAAATAGTGACTAGCTCGGGTGAAGTACAAAAATTTGAATATGACCCTAACAACCCAGACGAGATGGAAGCTGCACGTGTCAATTTGGGTAAGTAGATAATGTATGGAGCATTGGAGTATTGGCCGATCCTAAAATAATATAACTTTAATCACTCCTATAGGACTCTTTGGTGTTATTTACAAAATATCCTTTCTTGTTAAGCCAATGTACAAACTTCGAATGAAGGATACTTACCCCGAATTAAAATCTTTTACTGGTGAAAATATTAAAGATTTTGTGAAGAATCCTATAGTTGACGGAGTTGAGATATTCTATTGGCCATTTAATGAATCACGTATTAATAATTAATATAAGACTGTTCATTTCAAACACAATTACATCTTTTTCAAATTTTAACATTGTTCCATCGTTATCAGGCCATTCAACCGACTCTTCGAAAGACAAACTTTGGATAAAAGTATGGGAAAACATAATTAACGATCAACAACCCAGTCTAAATCAAGATCAGGTAAAGGCGTTTCGCAGAAAACAGGAAGGTTTTAGTCGCCTTGCCAACGGTTTTTACAAACATCTTATAGATGATCCAACCAAGACTCCAAAGATCACACACGGTGCCGGACTGCTTAGGAAAGAATTTATAGACGATAAGATAAATAATCTGGTATGGGAGGTACCAGATGCGACCCATTACCAGGCAGGAATTGATAATATCCTTTGTCGGGATTTGGAATTCGCTATTAAAGCTGACAAAGACTTCGAAAACATCATCACAGAACTGAATTATATTGTCGATAGAGTATGTGTTTATCTATACCTCGGAGGAAGTTTTCTGCCATGTTATTTTATAGATTTTAACATGTTATTACTCTCAATAGATTTATGAGGAAAAACAGAAAAAAAAATATCCCATTAATTTAGTTGTTGAACTACGGATTCTTAAAAGCTCGACAGCTCTCCTGTCAACTGCATACGACGAAGATCCCGATGCCTATTATTTCTTTATCGAAGTTCTTTCTTTCAGATATTTCAACAAACATAATAACACCTGCATAGATACAGAATACTTTGAGGTGGTTTTGTGTCAACGTTCTTTTATTAGTTATGATTTTTCTTTCTTCTTGACAAATTTCATATGTGATTTTCCCCTTTCCTTAATAAGCTTCAAGTGTCTGAGCATCATTTATTTCGAAAATGTAAGGAGCAAGTTTCTCACATTGTTCCTTTTTTAAAATACTTCTGATAGTACTATAATTCTTGGATTCCATAGTAGATCTGATGTAAATAAGTTTCATATTAACTATTTTTATCTAGAAATAATCCTACAAATATCATTAAACAAAGATTATTGATCCCTGAAATTCTTAGTAATACAAATGTTCACTTTGCCTGGTTTTGTTGCAGCATGTCGCGTATACAGTTCACACTCTCTATAACGGCCTTTTCTATAATAGTCTTCACCCTATATCAAACTGAGAGTTAAAGCCGAATTTTTTATTATTACTATTTAAAAAACTTGCTCTATAACGGATTTCTTAATTAAAATTTTCTATAGTCTATAACAGTCTGTCTCTGAAAATTATACTATTAGTGTACGACCCATTAAGACTTTATCCGGTAGTTAACGGATTACCAGGTTAACGTTAATAGTCGTGTGACATTTCCCTGAGGCTGCTTTTCTATGTGTGAAAATAAATTACAAAATTATGTCAATCAAAGCTGTTATTTTTTTAAATCTACACATATTTATAATAAATGCAATCAAACTTATTAATGCTATGAATTTACAGTATTAAATAATTTTGAATAAAAAAAAATTTTTACAAGATTATTTATAGTGTGCTCTAGATGTAACCGTCAGCTTCACTGACGGGTTACATCTAGTATATATTAATATTAATATACAAAAAAAAAAAATAACGGTACTTCTTATTTCGCATGTTTGCAAAAACGATCGGTGTAAAGATTCTTTACGCGCACGTGAT